TACTGTGATAGTGTACATGCCATGTACGTTGCTCTTATACTTTCTGGGAGATTATAAAATTTACTGAGAATGGAGAGATGCTTCCCTTGTTTGAGCATGTGCAACACTAGCTTCAGAACCAGGAGACTCTCTTTATTTTCTCCAACAGCTTCAAACACTAGTCTTTCTGGTTTCTTGAACAAAGGAAGTCAAGCTGCAAGTCCGGCTACCTATTATTCTGCTCAGATGCTTGCTGAGTCTGCTCAGTTTAAGCAAGCTACAGACTCATTCAATTCTCCATCATACCTCTGCTATGCTTCAGCCTCAATTTCAGTTATCTAGTCTTGCATGTAGTTTTATGCTACCACATTAACTCTAGGACCAGCTGAGCTACCACCCTCACCTTATTTCCCTTTTGTTTTACCAGCCTTTACCTCTAGGAGGTGATCAGTCTACCAGCCCCTACCTGTCTTCCCTTGAATCTATCATCAAAAGACACACACACACAATTGTTTTACAATTTACCTTCTAGGTACAATTGCTGACACTGATATTTCTCACCTGGAAAAGCATGCCCTTATCAATTTATTATCTCTGCCTCTCCATCTGCCCTAAACTTCAGTGACTAGATGCAACCAGCCCCTGTCAAACATCTCTGGCTACACACCTATAGTAGTGGCCACAGACCGAAGTTCCCCTCAAGACCTCAAAAGTTGCTGCATTCTTCTTCCAAAGCATGGCAGAAAATCTTCTCTCCTTCCTTGCATCTGCATTTTCCTCCTGGGACCCAAAAGTCCAGCCTGTACCTTCTGTCCAGCAATTGGCTGCTGGTTTTCTTTACTCGCAAATCAAGAACTGATTGAGAAACAGGACCAGCGTAATCTCCACTTCAATCTAGAGATCAAGTAGGGCAAATTGTCCTGTTCATACATCTTATCTGCCTACTGCTTGTTAAGGTAAAAATCTCCAAGGCTTACTATCTTATAATAGATAGATGATACAGACATTTCATTTCTTGACAGCCACAAATGTGATATATATGCTAGTTTCTCCTCTTGTTTATCCAACGAACTAGAAAAGCTAGTAGGCATTGGCTTACAAACTGAATAGAATCTTTTCTATAGCTGGCTATTGGAAATGTTAAAAACAATTAACATTCCTGCATACACTTTTGATGCCTTTAACAAAAATTGTACCACCTTAGGTATTGTACATAAAATTGGCCTTTCTTATATTCCTCAAAGACCATAAATTGTAAATGGGTCCTTTTAAGTTTTTCTTGAAAAAAAGTAAGTATATGTATAACTTCCTACTTCTACAAATCTTCTTAACTGTATTTCATTTGAATAATATTTTGAGTTTAGATCAATAACAATTAACTGCTACAGAGATTTTATGGCAGACATGCTCCAGATAGAGAGGGGTTTGTAGAAAGATCCTGCTCTATGGAGATGGTGTGGTCCTGACTCTGTGCTTATGTAGGGAAGAAATGTTTGCATCTCTCCACAGAAGCATTTGGAGCACCTTGAGTCTCAAAGCACCTTTTTAGACATTCCTATGCTATGAAAGCATCTGTTGTGCTACAGAAGCTGAGGATGCAGATGATGATGAGTTTGAAGTTTGGGAGGTCACACTCCCAACTTGACAATGGCAGAAAAATTTTGAGTGGTAAATGAGAAAAGGCAACCTGTTTCTTCTACTCAATTTATTTTTTAGAAATTCTGGCATTACTTTATGTCACTTACATGGAAGGTGCTGGAGACTACTGGGTCTCTGAAGCTGACATCAACTTTGGCCCATGTAGTCACCTGGGAAGACCTACTTACTACTGAGATGATGTTTATCCTGCAATTATGATGTTTCACATGTGGCGTCTGGCAGTGCTCTCTTTATCTGCACTGGGATATCATAAATTATTTGCACTTTCATTGCTATGTCAGTATGTATGTTCTCATTTGAGTGACTGAGTAACTGGTAAGGACTGTCATTTTAGGGTCCATATGGGATCAAGGGTACAGCTTATCAAAGATCACCAACTGAATCATCACTTGAGTTTTCTAGTTTCTGATCAATTCAAATATCCATGGGATTGACATTGCCCAGAATGTGATGAGGTTTCTGTGCTTTTTTTCAGAATGAAATTCCCCTTAAGTGTCATGCTCCATGGTTCTAAAGTATTCCTTGCCTCTTAATAAATGATCCTAGAAGTGCCCACCTCATCTGGATAAAGATAACTTCCTAGAACCTCCTCGTTATATAGTATACAGTATACAGTATACGGTATATAACTTCCTGTTATACTATATTCAGGGTAAAGGGTGAAAAGGACCTTAGATTATTAACCATATACCTGGATAATAGGCTGACCTATGAGTGTTTTTTAAAACGATGACCAAACATGTCATAGACATCATTTTATATTTTACCTCATAGGTTCTGTTAACTCTCCATATATTTAAGTGAGTGAGAGTTCCTATATCCAAGAGAGTGAGGGACACTTCAAAATTATTTGGGTCAATTGTATTCTTTCCCTGTAAACTCCTCTGCTAATTAGAACCTTCTTTTACTTCAAAAGCTTTCTTTTCCTATGGTTCCTATCAACTTTACTGCTATATTAATTATGGTGATTTTGATTAACACGTTCTCTGTGTACTACATCAGGCTTTTTCTAAATGTATTTCTAGATCACATTTTAACTGTAACTTTTTCAGTACTTACAGCAATCAAACCAGAGGCTACTTTCATGGTGGCCCTTGTTCCAAATATTGTAAACTGCCCATTTCGTTAATCAACTTTCTTATAATAGCTCTGAAGGTTGGGTATCACAAGAACATATGTTTTAAAAGCCCAGAAGTTAAATGTTTTAAATGTTCTGATGTTTTACATAGGAGATACAAGGATTACAATATCAGTTACAATTACTGTTATGATGACTTTAGATACATCTATGTTTCTCCCTTAAGTAATGAGGAGGTGAGTGAGAGTGGAAATGGGTAGAATAAAATATCATATGCAGGGAATGTGGCATCATGATAATGTTAATTTAGGCTTCCTAACCATCAATCAAATAGTTAATGTCCTAGGCCAAGTTTGTTGCGCATTCAATTTTTCTTTAGAGGTTTTTAAAGACTATTACACAATCTGCAAACATGTAACCTCTAACATCCTTAAATATTTGTCTAGTGTTATCCTCAAATTACTTTTGTTGGAATGCTTTTGACATTATTAGGAGGCCTTCTCTGGTTTAAAGGACATCTGGGGCTTTTAAACATTTAGATACAAATAACTCATCTGGCTGTAAAAACTAAAAAGTGTGGTACTATTTGATCTACACTGATACAAAGTTCTTACAGGCAATATAATGAAAGTACAAACAGAATATTAGTTCTGTTTACTTCCAGGCACAGATCTAACAAGGTCCTAAAACTTTGTCCATGTTTATCCATTTTAAGACAGCTGTGTCTGAGGTATCCTGTGTTCTCTTTACCAGAATTTTCTTATTGGCTTTCAACTGACCAAGGTCATTATCTCAGCCTGAAAATAGTATAGAAGAAGCTATGTTGCTTAACAGACTTACATAGAATAAGCCATCAATTTAGGCAACCCATCCAGTCCCAGCTATTTGTTTTATTTATTTGTCAACCTTGGTCTTACTCCAAACCCTACCTTTGGGGACCCTTAGTTTTGCAGATTAGGGTCAGCAGAGCATAGGCCCAACCCTCAGATTGATACCCTGTCACCTATAAATAATATATCTTGATATATCTTGTATACCCAGTTGAGTAAGAAGATCAGAGGATCTATGTTCATCATTTTGTCAGTATGTTTTAGAACAGTCCTTCTACAGGAAACACTAATTGTTATAAAAACATAAAACTCATTAAGTATATTTCAAAGAATATTTTTAAAAAGAGGTCATCCAAATATGATGGGGGAAGTTATTGCATTTAAAATGAGGGCAGAAAGTGTGGAATTATTAGGACATTAAGCCCTTGGTTTGGAAGAATTATGATGTAATGAATAAATTTTAAACAATTGGAAAAGCAAATTTTTCTAAAAATTCAATCTCCATATAAGAAAAGATGTTGGTCTGCTATTAGGAATGATAGGCTAAAAGTCCACCTTTAGATAGCATACAGAAAGGCTCTGTATAAATTAACAGTTCAAAATTATGTATGTATGTCTATGTATACAGGCATTTATATGTCTGTATATATATATATATGCATTTATATGTATTGTATTGCACATACTACAACTAAGTATTTTGAGATTTGTCACATCATGCTTTTATTAATAATTTTGTATAAATACACCTCTATTTCAAGAAACAAAACTCACTACATTGCTAAACATCTGAGTTTTATTGGAATTATCTAATCTTCCATATTCCCATTCCTTAGAGTCATATTCAGGGTTCTATTTTGAAGTGAAAATGAGTAAATCCAAATCTTCACATATGTGGCAATGGCTTGGCTGTAGTCTTGGAAGTAAGGGTTAAACAGATCAGTTGAAGATTCAAGTATGTCAATAGTCATACTTAACAAAATAATAGTCAAAAGTAACAATATGACTCTTGATAGCCATGTGCCAAAGCTAATCAACAAGGACAGTAAATATTGCTATTGAACTCTAATTCAAATTGGTGTGGTGTCACTCAGTAGACTTACATATGATTTATTTAATACTGATTAAGAATAGCTATACTTTTCTGGAAACTGCACTGAAAAATAAACCTAAATCTTTGATGTTCCCACAGTTTACATATCAGTGTTTTGGCATCAGGTCTTGCTGTGTCAACATCCAGAGTTCTAAAATGTCCTGACAAAAACCTGATGTCACAAACTCACGTCAATAAACCCCAGTGATAACCTGGCAATGATATTGGTGTGGAACAAACAATTATAAAACCTGAATACTTTAGCATTTAAACCCAATGGTTAGCTGCATTGGTGAAGTGACACAGAGTTTCTTGATACTCACAAAAATTACAGTCACAGAAGCAAAGTAGGGAAATCAACATCACTCACCTTCCTGTAGAAAAGCATTGTTCCAACAAAAGGCAGAGGCTTAGGGCCAGGAATCCCTAGCTTCTTAAAAAGTCCATGAGTAGAAGTTCCATAACTAAAACATGAAGGAGAAAACGAGGTCATGAATATATATGTACATGAATACACACATTCATATGTACATATACAGGTATCGATACATGTACATGTACACAGGTACTGAATTATTTACACTATTGATTCAATATATGTGAGTATACACATGTGTATATATGTTATCTGACTATATATCCTTGAATACAAATATTGACAATTACTAGAATTTATGCAGTGAGGAAACAGGTGAGCAGAATTTAACATAAACACTTAGAGTAATAATACCCTTCACATTCAAATTTATTATAAACTTTTACATTAATACCGATGTTTCTAATCCTAGAGTTAATATGTAATACAACTTTATGAGCTTGATTTAGAATGTTACTGAGGGGCTCAAAGACTTAGGAAGTAAGCACAGATAACCAGTATGCATATCCTGAAATGCAAGATCCACAAGATGCCTCGTGAATGTTATATAAGCAGTGAACAGTAAGTTTTTTCAGCAGAAGAGAATAGCTAACCAGTTGAGCTTCCTGATAAGACTCTCCTAAGCAAGCATTGAAACATTGTGGCTGAGAAGCTCAAAGACATAAATGATCTCCTTTCTCACAGATTATAAACTGTTGAGAGCTTCCAACATGCAACTGTTATGATGGAAAAAAGGTTCAGCAGTTAAGAACTTTTGCTGCTTTTGTAGAGGTACCAGGTTCAGTTCCCCACACCCACATGCAAATTCACAACAGCCTATAATTCTAGTTCCGGGGAATCCAATGCCTTATTCTGAATTTCATGTTTATCATACATGTAGGCAAAACAGTAACATGCACAAAAACTCTTTTTTTAAAGATACAGCATTTGCGAGTCATCATTTATTCAAGTGTGGTGTTTTGATGTTGTAGATGCCTTTGAGCCATTCATACTCCTGGAAATAATATTTTTTAAAAAATTACTGGCATAATGTTATAAACTTTTCTTTCTGCAAAGTAGCACTGGTAACATACTAAAGTCATAGGATGTTTTCTTCAATTTTTCCAAGAATAGTTGAACAGCACCATGAGTAACCCAAATGATATCACGTAGTGACAAACTACATAAAGCATCATATCTCTGTCCTGTCTCTTCCAAGGCTTTCTGTACTGAGTTAATCAGCTACACAAACTTATTTAAAACTGACTTGATAACCCAACAATCTTTCTGGACAAACAGGCTGGAAGCAGAATAATCTTTAACATCTCAAGTGTAGTCCTGTGAGTTCTAGATCCTTCAAACCTTGCTATCCTAATGTGACAAATAACAGACTAATAACAGAAAACAAATCAAGAGAAACACTTCAGTAACAATTTTAAGTCTGGTCTTTAGTCTCACAATACTTGCTCCTAAACAAGCATTGAAACATTGTGGCTGAGAAGCTCAAAGACATAAATGATTTAGTTTACAGCAGATTTTTAAAATCACCTTTGGCAGTATGAATTTTCATTGGATAATACCTTTTGTTTTCCAACATGGAACAAGGGCCTAAGAATTATCCCAACTACTGGGTTAGAAAGAAGTTAAGTTCAACCCATTACTCACAGGTAGAGAAGCACCAGGATAGTAGATAACAGTGCCCATGTTTCCATGGAAAAGTTTGGAATCAGGTCCATTGCTATTTTCTTTCAATAAATCTATTCTCTGATTTTTTGTAGTAGGTGAAGACTTGAGTTCCCCTTCTTAAGTCCTGTTGTGTATCTATGATGCCAATCTGCAGTATTTATGTGCTAGGACGGAAAGTGGAACAGTCAATATTGCCAGTAGAACGATGAACTCTGTATCCTAAGTACTAAAGAATGTGTTTCCCCTTCATTTGACAGTTAACAATTCTTCATATTAACTCATATTTTGACTTTTTCATTTTTATTTTCTATTGGAAACTATGCTTTAGGTAAGACCAGAGGTCACGATTTTTTTAATAAAACTACAGTAAAGTGATTGATGCTAAATTTTTATTGGATGTTTATGTGAAAGCCTGCATTGCAAAGCTCATTAAATATTTGGACAGAAGCTCTATTTGTAAATGTTTATACATGTAAACATTCTAGGTCTCTGGAATACTTTGAATACCTTAGAAAGTGAAATATCACATTTCATAACAAAGTTTGGCAAAAACAACAAACATAAATCAATTTATCCTCAGAGAAACTAAAATTTCTCATGCATTTCTTTTATTGTCTTTTTTTTGTACAATTCATGTTTCCTACACATATTCATCTTTTTTTGTTTGTTTGTTTTTTCGAGACAGGGTTTCTCTGTGTAGCCCTGGCTGTCCTGGAACTCACTCTGTAGACCAGGCTGGCCTTGTACTCAGAAATCTGCCTGCCTCTGCCTCTGCCTCCCAAGTGCTGGGATTAAAGGCATGTGCCACCACTGCCCGGCAATATTCATCTTATACTATGTTATTATTAATGGAAAAGTTTTGACATTGCTCACTATTTCCTTCCCAGTTTCAGTTTTCTGGTGCACAGGCATTAGGCAACAATAAACATAATATAAAATTAAACCTTTTTTTAAAAAATTAAAATATGATGTTTGTGAACAATTTTTTCACCATTTTTATAATGTTGTGTTCTTTCGTTTCCATAGTAATCCACATTCTGTGCATCATATGTAGCTGAAGTAATGTGGCATCCTCTAGTTTGAATTACTGAAAAAAAGTCACATATGCACTCTTATTGTACATCCCGTGAATTCATAGCCTATATGATATTTAACATAATCAGCATTATCATTAATCCCAGAGATTACCAAAAACCACTCACCAACTCTTCCCATTTTTACCTGCATGCCTCCAGTAATTCCTGAATACTGGCTAGAATAAGGAGTGTCTGTTCATGGTTCAACATAGTAACTTCTCAGTCAGCTTGCTGGCTTTCTTCTTCCAATTTGTTGTTGTTGTATTAGTAGTGGTAATGGTTTTGTTTTGCTTGTTGCTATTAGCATTACATCTAAAATTTCTAGCATCATATTTTGTTCATTGAAAAAAGTTTTCCTATGAGATTCATTTGATAAAGCTCATAGATTTCCTTCTAAATTTCCATAGAACATGGATCTAAGCATTGATTCAAGGCAAGTGAAGTAATGTCTTCTGAGTTAATAATGTATAATGTGCATTTTGATTTTCAAATGTTCCTTGCTCAGATTTTGCCTCAGATAAAGAGAAAAACAAATGTATTTTTAATGAGTTCTTATTACAAAAACATGCCAAAGACATGTGAAGAATAATGAATTCCTGCAAAAATGTAAAAGGAAACTAGTGGCAGATAACTATCCTCCCACCAAAGAACAATTGGGAACGTTGGAAACAGTCTGCAAGAAGAGTAGGATTGTTACCCTAGGAAATCTTACTGTGTACCTATTTTCCAGGTCTCTGGAATGTCCTAGAGATGACCCCCATCTCTAATTTCCCATCTCTTTCCCCATGCTCTACCTACACTTTATCCCCTGTCCCTACTCCCCTTTCCTGCTGCTGCCAGGGTCAACCAGGTGAGTTCCCCATGCTCCAAAGTTCTGCTTGCTATATTTGCATCCAGTTCTGCCTTCAAGAGGTCTGCTCTAAACCCTTTGCATGTCACATTGAAGTTCTACCTGGTTACCACAAGCCCAGACACATGCAGCCATTGCTGACCACCAGGTGAGACCCCTTACCCCCAGTTACCTGTCTGGAAGGTTTTCTGTGAAAATCCACTAGCACTAAGAATCACCCTATACCCTCTGGACTTCATTTCCCTGGCCACAGCTCTGCCTGAATCCCTGGAGGCCTGTTTCCATCTGGGACAAACAGAGGCCTGCAACCATGAGGGATCACTAGCTCTAACTCCATCCCTGGAGGCCTGCTCCCACCCAGGACAACTACCAGGCTGAAGCCATCAGAGTCTACCAGTTTTGCCTGCATCCCTGGAAGCCTTGTGTGACTAGGGACAATCAGTTGTACCTGCAATTCTAGAGGCCTGCTGACTTCAGGGACTCCCAGCTCTACCTACAAGCCTACTCTCTGTTGAGGTTTTGTCTTTTACTGTCTAATGTAGTGCTACCTGGGCCCCCAAGGCCTTAAGTCTGCTTATAGCCCATGTGACCCTGTCCCCAAGTTAAAGATGAGACAGCCAATAGCTTAGCAAAAGAGACATAGGTAGGGTTTAGGTTGCACAAGCTTGGGGGAGAGCAGGATGAAGATAAAGAAGAAGTGCAGGAGAGAAGGAAGGAGAAACTGTCATGGGCTAAAGGTCAAGAAACTATGACTCCAAAGGATGCCCAATTGGAGTTCAGAGCAGCCCAGATATGACATAGTAAATAGTAAGCAATAGCTTACTATTATAGATAGAAAAGTAGATTCTAATAGCATGGAGAGTAGGCAGCTGCAGAGCTATTGTGAAGATTAAGGCTTATTGTAAATATAAAGGCTGTACATGTGTCTTCTATTCAGGAACTCAATGATCATGGTGAGGTAGAAGCCCCTGTCTGAGATTTAAATATGTTCTACAATTCCCATCAGGAACTACTAGGCCTGCCAACACTAGGGATAACCAAATGGTAAAAGGCCAGCATAAGAAGACAAACAACAAAACCAGGGAAATATGCCACCACTTGAACCCAGCTATCCTACTATAGCAAGCCCTGAACATCATAACACACCTAAATCGAAAGAAAATGACATTAAATCTAATCTTATGAAGATGATAGAGGTCTTTAAAGTGGAAATATCATTAAATGTAAAGAAATATGAGAGAATAACGATCAAACAGGTGAAAGAAATGAGTGAAACTGTTCACGACTTGAAAATGTAAATAGAAGAAAAACCAAACCAAAACAAAACAAGTAAAACCTTCAGGAGGCCTTCCTGTATCATATCTGATCAATATTACTTTGGGAAAGTCCAATGCTCTTTTTCTTTTTTTTCAACAGAAATACAGAGACTCTCAAAATAGCATGCACTTGGTCCTACAATCTGAAGTCATCAAAGGTATAGATTGACTCAATTTAGCAGCCTCTTTTTTCTTTAGGCCTGCTCTGTTTTGATCTCTCTCAGAAAGGTTTTGTAATATCATTATAACCACTGAACTTATAGCCACCTTCATTTTGATAATCAAAACTATTCAAAATATTTAAATCAATTTAAAACAATTATTATTATTTTCTGAGATAGGATTTCTCTGTGTAGCCTGAGCTGACCCAGATTTGTTTAAAAATTAGGTTGGCTTCAGACTCACAAGAAGTCAGTGTCCGTTCCTTTGTTTCCTACACATTGAGTTCAAAGGTCTGGATTTATTTATTCATCCACGCATATTTAAAGCAGTTACCATTATTTTCTCCATTCTATGGAGCTTAATATCTCTGAGGCATATATATATATATATATATTATATGGCAGTAGGCTATGAGAAAAGCCAGAAAGCTTGGGAAAAAGCCTTGAAGCTCCGGAAACCTTGGTCTGAAGAGGACCAGTAGGATGAACTTCCCAAGCCATAAATGGGTCACTTAGCTTCCGCTTCCCACAACCCCTCCCAGAAAGAGGTCCATGGCCTTTATCAGGTAGGAATAACACCTCCATGCAAATAAGGCATCCCCAAGCCCTCAAACCAAACCAATATAGGTTACCTGTTCTCCCCCCAAAACTGTATATATATCCCCAGAGCTCAAATAAAAAGTGCTGCGTGGTGTGAGACCTCCTGCTCTCGGAGTGCTTTCGCGATTCTTCACCAGTCGCGGCTATCCTACACATTTCAAAGGACAACAACTCTCCTCTACTCTCTGCGGGCAGAGAGAACTGAGAGAGCCATAACACTTTTCTTCCCTGGGCTCTCAGGAGCTGCCCTGGAAGAGGGAACTGAAAGAGCAAGTAACAGTCTCCCGCATTTGGAGGCTGGGACAGAGGTCCTGCACCAGGCGACTGAAAAGTGTGCTGTGCCCCAGTTCACAGCTGCGCTCTACCTCTTTGCTGCTACCGCCACCCTGCCTCTGGTGTTAGCGAGCCGACTGGAGGCCGCAGCAGAGCACAAGCCCCATCGTCCTGCTGGCTGCCAAAGGCCCCGGGCCAGCTCGGCCGGCGCCTTCCACGCCCCCGACCCCAGAGTCCATCCGCCAGCCCCAGCGGGCCTGGCCTGAAGCAGACGCCCTGCCGCCGCCGCTGCCACTGCCACCGCCGCTGTGCTCCTCCTCCTGCCAGGGCGGCCTGTGGCCTCCGTTTCCCGTGCCTGCCGCCCCAAGCCCCAGGCTGTGCCGCCACCACCACTGCCCTCGGTGCCCTGCGGCAGTCCAGCCATCCACTTTCCCGGGACGTCTCTGCCTGGTCTTTCTGCGCTTCTGCTCGTAACAGCACAGCCGCCTGCGACCGCTAGGCGAGAGCAGTGCCTGGCATATATATGTATATATACATATATATATGTGTGTATATATATATGTATATGTATATGTATATGTATATGTATATATATATACATATATATATTTATAGTGTGTCTGTGTGTGTGTACGTGTGTATGTGTGCGTGTGTGTGTGTGCTTGTTGTGTGTACGTATGTATATTTCTTCTTTGTCTTTATATAAATTGAATTGATATCCTTTCCTATTTATCTTTAATTAAATTCCATTCCATTTACTGTATCAGCCTACTA